TGATACACATTGATGTTATTATGCTGTGTAGAAAGTTTGAGCTGATTCCAACTTTAATTTTTCAAGTTACAACCATTTAAAAAAATGAGCCAATTTTTGAAAAATACCCAAGGCTATTAGTAACGCGGTAGCGTTACTAAGTAGGATTCACCCCCAAACAAAATGGCTGCCACGACTTTTGCAGCCTTGCTATACCGGGAAAACGAGCTCCTATGCTTACCAGACTTTATAGAGGACCTTATCTTGACCAGAGGACTCCATTGGTACCCTTAGCGTAGCCCTAGACCTTGTCTAAGAGAAAAGCCAAAAATCGGCGAACCGGCCGTTTTGTTCCGGCAGCCACCTTTTTTCATCTTCATCATCATCAAGAAAGTTAGTCCTGTCAATCCAGTTGTCGGTGTGTATCTCAGTATCAGTTGGTGCTACAAGGATAATTCTTACACCAATCTACTCCAATAGTCTATGCGCAGGTCCATGTCCCATCAGATCATTCATCCAGTAATGAAAAAGTGATACTCTGACTGCTGGATAGAGCCATCTTAGCTGCATGCCGCCATTTTGTTAATTAAAGAAGCATGTGCTCCAAAATTTGGGTGTGGTCGCGCATGCTCAGATCTGCAGCTCTGGAAGAAGCAATTAATTTTTTTACCAAGCTATGCTTGGAATCGACTACTGCAATACTTTAGTGGAGGTTTCCAGCTAAAAGAAGGTATTAATCTTACATGTTACTGTTTTATCAAGTGTATAATGTTATTTCATTTAAAAAACAAACATTTAATACTATGATATGCAATGATAATGTGAATGACAACAGCCTGGAAGAACAGGAATAGCTGCAACATTGCAGGGAAGATGGACACTCTCAGCTCACAGCTTCTTGAACAAGGACTTGTGTCAAGACTAGTATTAATTTCACTTGTCATCAGGATAGTTGATAATCCTTCAGCATGTCTATTCAATGCTGTCTCTCATAAATGATGTAAAGTCATAACAATGATAATAATAATAAAGAAAATTATTGTTTGTGTAAAATCAACAAGCATCACAATGGCAACTAAAGAAATATTATAAATATTATAAAAAAATCAACACAAACAAGAACATAAAAAAT